CGACAGAGTGAGACTCCAACTAAAAAAAAAAAAAAAAATCGAAGAAATATGTCTTTTTTTTCCTTGTCTCCTATCTATCACTACCCTCCATTAATCTAGTCACTAAATTCTTGATTTAGAAACTGATTTATAGACAAAGGAATATACTTTTTTTTGTTTTTGAGTTGGAGTCTCACTCTGTCGCCCAGGCTGGAGTGCGGTGGCATACTCCTGGCCACCCCAGTGTCGACCTGCTGGGCTCTGGCAACCCTTCCACTTCAGCCTTCCAAGTAGTAGGAAATATAGGCGTGTACTACCACACCCATCTAATTTTTTGATTTATTGCAGAGACGAGGTCTTGCCAAGTTGCCTGGGCTGGTCTTGAACCCGTGGGCTCAGGCAATCAACTCACCTCGGCCACCCAAAGTGCTGGGATTACAGGCTGAGCCATCTAGCCCAGTCAGAATATAAATTTTTGTACAAAAGTTAGGAGACTGGTTTTGGTAAGTCTCATAACTATGACTGTTTTTTCACAGGAAGAAATAAATATATCAGGACAAAATGTGAATGGGAAAACTGACTGAAGAAGCAATCTGCACATATAAAACAAATGATGCAAAATAACACTGTTGTTTTACCTTCTGTGTCAATGTCCTACTCTCACCAAACAGATAATGAGTATCTCTGATGCCAAAGTGGATCCTTAGTTCTACCTAGAAATAAGTACTGAGAAAGCACAATGTGTCTGCTGAACTGAAATGAAACAGATATAATTGTCTAATCTATTCCATGATTGGTTATGGAAAACCAATATAGGGAGGTCAGAAACAGAAAGTATGAGCTTGTAATTTTTATGTTTACCTTCAAAACCAGAATTCAAAAGGTGCTCGCCCAAGTCACAACCAAATACTCTCTCTTTCAAGATTCCCCGTTGCTTCAGCTTCTGTTTTGTTGGACGAGACTTCATGAATGTTCGTAAGAAAGTAATGAGCTTTCCGTGCTTTTTAGAAACTAAAAAATAATAAAGAGAAAATACTTTAGTTGTGGCATGAAGTCACATGTTACTTTGTGTGACAAGAAGCAGATAATTCAACAGGCTGACTGCAAAATAATCTATTATGAATACACTTTATAATCTGTAGAAAAAATTCAACAGAAGTTTAGATGGCAGTTGTTACACATAGCATCATAATTTTGCCCTTTCTTTTCACCACCTTACTTGAAGAAATTGCAAGTAAATTTAAGTGTCATAACTCATGACCTTTTAATCAAACTTGGTAAATCAGCTGCCTTCACAATGCATACTTAATGGTGCTACAGGATTACAGAGGTAACTGAGTTCTTTGTAATAAGCAAGACTTAAAATAGTGTAAATGTGGCTTGCATTTCTGGTGAATTTCTAAAATATTTTACTTGATACTTAAGAAATTTTCATTGCATTTATAATTTGGTGAATATAGCTGAAAAAAAGAAACTCTTCTTAATTTTGCAAGGAGGACAGTCCCATGATGATACAGAGCACACTTGACAACTTAATGACTATATAATACACACAAGCATCAGATCATCTACTAATATTCATCTTCAGCATACTCAATACATTATCTTAAATCTTTTGTAGATCAAGGCAAGAGATAAGCAAATTACTATTTGAAAAAAGATTTCCACTGACTGATACGTTGGAAAAAATTAAAGTAAGTAAATCCCTAGCAAAATGACTTTTGCTGAGATGTGCAGCCTATAGGGAAAAATTACTCTAAAAGTCAACATACAACAAGTATCATAAGCGCAGTGATTAGTTGCAGGATATAAGTCATGTGGCCTCAATTCTCCTACTCAGTTTGCAGATGATTGCTGGGAGTCTTACAGAATCCTACTACATATTCTTGATTAAATCCAAACTTGAAAACTCTTGAATAGATGAGGCCTCCAGAGGGAACTCTGTGTGCCTTTAGTAACTTGTGGCCTAGACAGACCATTGGATGAGTTACTCCAGATCAGATTAGACACATGACACACACTTCAGTTTATGGGTAACACTATTTGTAGCCATAAGCATCTTTTCTATAGACTGCTCTAGGGAGATCAACCATCCTGGTTTTGTCGATGACTGAGAGGTTTCCTGAGACATGGGACTTGTCATGCTGAAATCGGGAAAAGTCCTAGGAAAACTGCAACAAAGCAGTCATCCTAGACTACACACACATTAAATGGAACATTTATTCTTTTTTATAGCAATGGTTTAAAATTACCTAGAATCAGCCGGGCTCGGTGGCTCAGCCTGTAATTCCACACCTTTGGGAGGCTGAGGAGAGTGGATTGCCTGAGCCCGCGGGTTCGAGACCTGCTTGGGCAGCGAGACCTCATCTCTACAATAAATCAAAAAATCAGCCGGGTGCGGTAGTACGCGCCTGTAATTCCGGCTACTCGAAAGGCTGAGGTAGAAGGATCACTGGAGCCCAGCAGGTCGAGGCTGCAGTGGCCGGGAGCAGCCACTGCACTCCAGTCTGGGCGAAGGAGTGAGACTCCAACTCAAAAAAAAAAAAAAAAAATTACCTAGAATCATCAGTAAAATGTTGATGCTATCTCTAATAAGCTCAATGCTAGGTAAATTACAACCTCTCTTGTATCTGAGATTCTTTGCCATAAAATTATATGACATACTTATTATCTACTAATGAGGTATCTATAGTATACTTGGTTAACTTCAGAAGCCTATCCCATATATTGTGCTATATATATTATATAAAATATAATATACTAAAAGTTATGGGCCGGTGTGAGTTTTATTTTCCCCTAGTTGCTAGCAATTGTGTGTTATGAATCTTTGTTAAAGAGTGGCCATCAAACCATTTCTGTTCATTTTCAAACATTTTCTATATAAACTTTAAAATAATTTTGACAAGGTTCCCAAGAAACTACAAACAAGTTTGATTTGCAATAATTTGATAAGAAGAATTTTAATTTCTGTAATATTCAATATTTCCACCTGGAAACAAGGTATGTCATCTCAGTAAAGTTTTCTAATCTTCTCCATAAAACGACATATTCCACATATTTCTTGCGAGGGATATTGCCAGGTACTTTTCTTTGTTGTTGTTGTTGTTTTCTTCAATTATGCCCTTAACTTGTAATTACTTGTATTACTTGGAAATCAATTTCTTTATGTATAGCTCAAATCTGATTCTTTATTAAACTCTCAACAATTCTAAGAGGATTTTAGTTGGTTCTTTTGGGTTTCATTGATATATAAGTGTGTCAAAGCAAACATGGTAATTCTAGTCTTTTTCTGATAGGAATAATTTCTGATTTCTGTTTCAGATTTACTATTTGGTCAGAACTTCTAAGATATGTTAATAGTAGGCACTCATATTTTGATGCTGAATTTGATGGAAATATCTGCTGAATTTGCAACTGCATATGATATATATTAGAAAGTATTATTTTAGTCACATATTTCTGAGAATGTTTTAATGAAAAGAGAGGTGAATTTTAACTATTATTCATTTAGTAACAAATATGAAAGTGCTCCTTGTATCTCAGGAACTCTTTTTTGAGTTCTGAAGTAACAAAGGGAAACAAGAAAAACAGACACAGTTCTTGCTACTGCAGAGCTTATTGAGAGTACAGAGGCAAGGAACAATTAAATAGTAATACTGATATAGTCAGCATTTATTTTATACTTATTAATAGTATATGCAAGTAACTACACAAGTGTTTACATTTATTAACCACTCATTTCTCACAAACCATCTAAGGAAAATACTATTATTATCCCCATTTTTAGATGAAGAAACTGAGGTATAGAGTGCTAAGTTAATGTGACCAGGGTCACATGACCATGACGATGCTTCAATATCAGATCATTTGGCGAAAAGCCTGAGCTGTTAGCCACTATATGATACTGCCGAAATGAAGACAATAAAGTTACATCAGACTGTTTTAAGTGGCTAAAAAGGAAATAAATAGAATGAAATAATAGTGACTTGAAAGAAAAGAAACTGGCCGGGTTTGGTGGCTCAGCACTTTGGGAGGCCGAGGCGAGTGGATTGCCTAAGCCTGTGAGTTTGAGACCAGCCTGGGCAACTTGGTGAGACCTCGTCTCTACAATAAATCAAAACAAAAATTAACTGGGTATGGTAGTGTGTGACTGTAGTTCCGGCTACTTGGAAGGCTGAAGCGGAAGGATAGCCAGAACACAGCAGATCGACGCTGGGGTGGCTGTGAGCGGGCCACTGCACTCCAGCCTGGGCGACGGAGTAAGACTCCAACTCAAAAAAAAAGAAAAAAAAAAAGAAAGAAAGAAAAGAAACTAAATTAAATAGGGAGGCAAGAAACACTCTGAGAAAGTCAAACTGGAAGCCATGAGTATAGCATGCCTGGGGATGGTGTGAAATGAAGTTGAAAAGGCATGCAAAGGCAGGGATCACAGGTCATAATAGTTTGAGTTTTATGCAATTAGACCACACTTAACAGTTTAAATAATTTAAAATAGATACTTTAAAAATAAACCCAATATATGTGCTAGAAACCTGAAAGTATATTAATTTGAGATTGGCTGAACAAACCATGACACATCTAAACAAGGGGTTACCGATTAAGTTTTGCTTTTTAAAATTTTTAATTTTTTGTTTGTTTGTTTGTTTGTTTTGAGTTGGAGTCTCACTCTGTCACCCAGACTGGAGTGCAGTGGCCGCTCCCGGCCACCACAGCCTCGACCTGCTGGGCTCCGGCGATCCTTCCGCCTCAGCCTTCCAAGTAGCCAGAACTACAGGCCGCACTAACACGCCCGGCTAATTTTTGATGTATTGTAGAGAAGAGGTCTCGCCAAGTTGCCCAGGCGGGTCTCGAACCCGCGGTTTCAGGAATCCACTCACCTCAGCCTCCCAAAGCGCGGGATTACAGGCTGAGCCACCAAGCCCGGCCTGAGCCATGTTTAAATGCCTTTGCTGAGTTACTTCCTGATTCTTTGTGCTTCCTTTTTGCGGGGTTTTTACTTTGGCGGACTACATGTTCAAACTTTTGGCAGAATCCAATCAGAATAGCAATCCTGTAAGCCAATCAGCAAACAGGACATGTAAATGAGATAATTCTGTAAAGCCAATCAACATGTAACATGTAGGTGTCCTACGGCAAAGTGTGTAACTCCTGCAAGTATTCCTCCAATAAGGAACCAGGAGAGGGACAGATGTGCATTTTAGTAATAAAGGTGCTGATTCTTCCTGCTTTGGTGGGCCTGCCCACCAGACACCCAATCTTATAAGACTGCCATTAAAGTATCGCTTCTGCTGCACTCCATATTTCTGTGTCCATCCTTTGGTTTTGGACAGGTGAGTTTGTTTCTCACACATGGCTGCCCACTCTCACCCCTCTTGTTCAACATAGTGTTGGAAGTCCTAGCTAGCGCAAAAATGACAAGAGAAGGATTTCAGGGATATTCAAATAGGAAGAGAGAAAGTTAAGCTGTCCCTCTTTGTGGACAATATAGTTCTATACCTGGAAAATGCAAGGGAATCTGTAAAAAATTTCCGTGCACCAATAAATGACTTTGGCAAAGTCTCAAGGTATAAAATAATGTGCAAAATACAGTCACATTTTTATATACCAACAACAAACAGGCAGACAGTCAAATAAAAAGTACAACCTCATTCACAATAGCCACACACAAAAAAATGAAATACCTTGGCATCTTTCTAATCGGAGAAGTGAAAGACCTTTACAATAAAAAAAACCCATAAAACAATGCTCAAAGAAATCAAAGAAGACACAAACAAATGGAAAAATATTCCATGCTCATGGATTGAAAAAAAATCAACATTGTTAAGATGTCCATCCTACCCAAGACAATCTACAGATTCAATGCAACACCCATTAAATTACCAAAATCATTCTTCTCAGCCCTGGAAACGACAATACAGAAATTCTTATGGAAACATAAATCACCACGAATAGTCAAAAGAATCCTTAGCAAAAGAAACAAAGTAGGAGGTATCACACTCCCACTCTTTAAA